GGCGGAGGGCTGCCGAGCGGCGTTCCCACGGTCGCTGCCACGCAGCGCTGCCCCGCAACCGGCCGCGCTGCGATCGGCCCGAAACAGCGTCGCTTTCCACAGCGCCTGGCTTCCGTCTGCCGAAAACTCGACTCAAGTGTTTGTGTGTTTTAGCTGCGTCCGAATGTTGCCTTTAAAAAACAACAAACATCAGGACAGACTTGACTTGGCAATTTTGTTACCAGGCTGTTTGGCCCACTTCAGGAATTTGCTGCTCCTCGCAATAAATTTCGCCTAAAGGAGTTCGCCTCGCCTGGTGAGATGGAAGATGATGAGGCTGGCCACTTTTATAGCGAAAACTGCATGGCAGATGGAGCTAAACGGTTGTAAGGTACTTCAGAAACACTTGTTTAAAAGCTGAGCATATGCCAGGGTATACAGAGAATACGATGCGCACAGAACCCGAGTGGAAGCATTTGTTTGGTTTTGTTTTCCTTTCCTGTCACTTCTTCTTAACACACATATTTATATTTCTACCGAAAAAAAAGGCAAAACTGTCCAAAGTACTGATTCTCTCCATGAAGTCACAATAGTGATGTCAAAGTCATAACTGTCTGTGCTTGGGTCATTCAATAAGATGGGGCACATACTGTCACACGTCACAAAATCTATTATCTGCTGCATGTACAAGGATATAATTGGAGAGAAACAAAGGCAGATTTCTAGAGCATTTCAAGATAATTAGAAGGTGCTAAGTTGGTGATGGCACTGATGATACAAGCCAGCTTCAGCTGTTGAAGTAGCTGGTACTTAATGAAACAAGTTGGCCTCCCAAATGCTTCAGTACAAATTGAGCTGGGTGATGCAGAGAGGTGATTACTTCTGCACGACACCGCGATGGCACATGGTACTCTTTGTGTAGAAGCTATCTGCATGTGTCATACACAGGTAGCATTATTCGCCTGTTCTTTACAAGTGTAAGTCAGGAATAGCTGCAACGTTCACAGCAGAGCAAGGCAAGTGAAATTAAGACTGAAATCCAGGCCACTATTTACAAAACCATTCATGCATTAACGTCCTGAATACATATACACACACACATACATATACACACACAGTATTATTTGGCATACAAAAGCAACACATTGCAAATCTCTGCATTAATAGCTACTTTCGCTGCTACAAAACACAGCTTTTGTGGGGTGTTCACTATTATAGTGAAACTGAAATCATGTATTAAGTGTTAAAAGTCGAATAAAATGTTACTGACAGTTTAGAAACAACTAGACAGCTGGAAAGCACGTGTCTGAAATTCTGAATATTGTCACTAAATGCTCCTCTTGCCAGCATTTTGACTCATCTGTGGAAAACTAATACCCAAAGTGAAAAAAGGTTAAAATGTCTTAATCCAAAAAAGTTTTAAAATGCAACCTTGTTCTGAAAAAAAAAAAAAAAATCCAAGGAGGAAGTCCACGCTACATACGGTTGCTCAGAATGTCCAACCGCTGCACACTCTTCAACAGGACTGTAGGTGTGAGAAAGCTTCCTGCAAATCACAAGGACATCTGTTCCACAGCAGAAATAACATTTATTAGTCATTCCATCTCTGAAAGAGAGGGGGGGAAAAAAAAAAAAGGTAGTCAATTTATTTCCAGTATTTTTTAATTTCTGGATGCCATCCTTTCCCTTTATTACCAAACTGATTTCCACGTCCTGCTAGCACTAAGACACCCAAGTACTTTACTCTCTTCACAGAGGATTGCTGTGGTTCTGGGTAGTTGAAGTCACTTGTGTGTCACGTTAACACACGCGGGATGCAGCTTTCCTGAAGTGCTGTGTTGTATTAGTACTGCTTATGTACACTGTGCCGCAAATCGTAGATAGAAATCATTTTCATATTTTTAAGAATTTAAAAAGATACCAGACAAAACTCCATAAGCCACTCTGTGGCTGCAGTAACCCTTCTGCTCTTTGCTCCTTCTTTTCCAATTGCCTTTTGCCTCCTCTGGGGTAAAATGAAGTCAGCGGATGCTTTGCTCTTGAGTTCAGTCAAACCAAGGTCCACCTTACAATCTGTGTCTGACAACCACTCAAACCATAAAAAATAAACCATACTGAAGAACTTAATGTGAACATTTTGAAGATATTTAAGCAGGTTTTCTATTCTGTCCATTGTTCCAGAACAATTAATACAATACAACATATATAAGGTACAGCGAGTAGGGACAAACATTTCATCAGCAGACAGACGACAACATAATCACCACTGAGTTATTGTTTAAAGGCCATTACAATACAAAGAAAGTGGAAGACAGTACTGGCTACTTCAACTGACTTACTGCCAGCATTAACTGCTAGTACTTCAGTCTTTACATAATTTTAGTTACCTGGTTCTTTCTAGTTACCTACAGTAGCTGGTATTCTTTCATTAGCTGGTATTCATCGGAAAATTTTAATGAAGAAAAGACAAAGTAACGAGGACAGAGGGGTTATTAGATACTAAAACTTCTATCTAAAACAGTGCTTCAAACACTGTGCTTTCAAAGTAGGTCGGGACAAGTGAACCCGTTAGGGGCAGTTTTAAGCTTCTTGTCACCTCGCAGGCCGAACCCAAATGCTCGGACTACAGCAACAGCATCGAACGGCACCTGCGGCCAGGGCCACGTGGCATTTGAGGCCAGCCATACGGGATGTGCAAAGTCAGAACGCTATCTTTTCTGTATTGACTTTTACTGGATTTCCTTCTGCCTCCTCCTTTGCAGGTAATTTAATGCCTGACAGCAAACTCTCCGAAGGGTGTCACGTGCAAAAAGAACGGACTGAAATGCAGTTGATGTTGTTTTGCAGCCAGTCTCACACGCAAAAGCTGCGCTGTTGGAGCACTGCGTTAGGTTGCTACAGCAGGCAGCAGTTCAGATGACAATGTAGTGGTAAGCTGACGAGAAGGTTGTTGAATGAATACATTGACTGGGCTACAGTTAGCCTGCAGATTCCCTTTGCCATCTCTGCCATAGATCTCCTTTTAAAGACTGAACTCTGCAAGAAAATATCGAAGTTGGAGCCCAGCAACAGTTACACAGCATTATCTGCAGGCCCAGTAGATATGTGAAGAGAAAGTATGCTGAGAATAAGAACAGCGTCATGAACTTTAAAAACAATTCTTTGGGGAAGGACTAGGTGAAGCAAAGCTGAAGCTGAACTAATGAGTCAGACATAGCAGGTGGGAAGAGCAAGCAACTGATGGGAAAAAGTCTGTGTGCCATGGGAGCACAAAAAGTAGTGTTTACACAGGAGGCTTTATTCAATAATGAGAAAGTGAGAATAGAAAAGTTAGAGAATTACCAGGGACTGGGGGAACAATCTGAACCGCATTTTTTGTCTTACATTTGTCTGCTTACCATGAAGTCAAAGCATGTAGTGGTGGGAATAAGGCAAGAAGGATTTGCTCAAGGCATTAAAGTTTTGTAAAGGACAGATTAAATAACAGTGCTCCAAAAATCAATTTTGAGGGGCTTATGGAGCCTTGAATGGGCTTTTGCAGCACAAAAGCAAGATTGAGTTTTTACTGAACCTGTCATTTATTTGGGTTTACAGCCTGCAGTAAGCATCAGGAAAAACATAAAACGAAAGCAAAGTAAGCAACGAGCACTCACACAGTAAGCAAATAAAAAACATGTGGAAGTGCAATCTAAATTACTGAGTGATTTAATCGAGGCAAATCTATAAGAAAATAAAGTCTCCCCCTCCCCCCCCCGTGTCTATGTAGGATCAGACCACCTGGAAGGGGAAAAAAAAAAGGGGGGGGGGAAAGAAGCTGCGTAACTGCTCACTGGATTCATGTCTAATACGTGACCCGATTACGATTTCAGTAGAACAGACACATAAACACCAGCACAGCACAACGCAATCCGGAGAGCCTGCAGTTTAGACACACAGTTTACTAGTTCGTT